ATTCCTGCTTTACTGTTTATCAACTTTGTGACCATCTCAGGCTGCTTAATATTTTGAGGTAAAACACCCAGTGGTTTTTTTGTTTTGTTATTGATTTCAGAGAGAAAGTGAGAGGGAGAGAGAGAGAAGAAACATCAATGATGAGAGAGAATCATTAATCAGCTGCCTCCTGCATGACCCATACTGGGGATTGAGTCAGTAATCCGGGCATGTGCACTTACCAGGAATCGAACCGTGACCTCCTGGTTCATAGGTCGATGCTCAACCACTGAGCCATGCCTGCTGGGCAGCACTCAGTGTTTTAATAGTAGGATAAATGTTAGTTTCATTTCTTCTCTGGTGGCAGCAGATTCTTAAAAGACAGGAGAGCCTGGACCAGCATCTACATTTAGAATAGGGAAAAAGAGTAGATATCCTCAGGGTTAGGGTACAAACCAAGAGCATAGTCATGGATAAGAATTTGAAGAAGTGATATCAGTTGTAAGGAGGTCATCAGATTGGACAGTTAGGTGGTCAAATAGACCATTATTTTAATTGCATGATCATATTGAAAGATAGACTGTGAGAGGATTTTAAAAATCAACAAAGCTGAAGCCATGATAACTACACTATGATTTCAGAGACTGAGGTATGACTGTGGCTTCAAGTAGTTAGAAGACAAAGTTTAATAGAGTAAACTTTAAATGTTGGTAGGATTTGGGTAAAAACTACTTATAGTAAAAATGAGGAAGAAATCACCTTAGTTTTTACAGGGGAACCACTTTTTAAATAATGATAAAGAAATAGTTTATAGTTGAATAAGTAGAATACTGCCAGATTAAGGAAGCACTCTGAAGATCTTGAAAATCAGGGAAACAGAACTGGATTTTGACTTTTTCTTAAGCATGTTTTCTACTGATTTTCAGTAAGAAATTATTAAGTCCAGCCATTATAGTTTGTAGCAAAAACAATGTCAAAATATGCACTTAGTTGCTACTTTTATGCATGATTTATGTTAGCCTTAATTAGATGTTATAATATTTTGTATAATCAGGTTTTTTTCTTTTCCTTTTAGGTCAACTTTCTTTCTATGATGCAAACTCAAAACAGTTGTTGTATTCCTTTAAGACAAAATTTACTCAGCCAGTACTACCTGGTTTCATGGTGAGTACCTAATTTATATTTTATTTGGTTTGGCAACTTTAAGAATAACATATTGGGAAGTAGAATATCTTATTTTTTTCTTCATATTCCCCTCCTTTTCACCAATCCACTTCTTAAATCTGTGATTGTGTATTTTTGTTATATTTTGTTGAAGTAAATGATAATACATAAAAGGACACAAATCATAAGCATGCAGTTTGATGACTCCTTATAGGATTGTGCTCATTTTTGTAACCAGCATCTAGATCAAGAAGTGGAACATTGCCAGAATCTCATAAGCCCCTTTTGCCCATTTGCAGCCCCTACTGCCCTTCTCCACAGAGGTTACTATCTTGAATTTTAATGCCAAAAATTTTGCCTCCTTTCCAATTTTATGTAAGCAGAATCATACAATATCTTTTGGCTCAACATCATGGTTGTGAAGTTTATCCATACTATTATATGTGTGGTAGTTCACTCATTCTCATATAGTTTTCCATTATATGACTATGCCATGTAATTTATCCATTCTAATTTAGTTGGATACTTGGGTAGTTTCCCTTTGGGGACATTTATAAATAGATCTGCTATGAATATTCTAGTTCATGTCTTTTAGTAATGCATATGTTTTTTATTGGGTATATAACTAGGATTGGGGTTGTTAGATCATATGGTATGTGATCAACTATAGTAGAGTGTTTCAAAGTCACTAGTTATACTGATTTACCATTAGCAGTATTTGAGTTTGAATTCCCCCACATCTTGAATAACACTTGGTATTGTCCTTTTTTATATTAGTCCTGATAGTCTTATAGTCCTTTTATATTTAAGTCTTTCTAGTTCTTCCATATTACATTGTGATTTTCATTTGCACTTCCTTGCTGTTGAACACCTTTTTATGTGTTTATTGACTATTTGAATATACTCATTTGTGAAATGGTTGTTCAAGTCTTTTGCCTGTATTTCCATTGGGTTTTCTTCCTATTTTTTATTGATTGATTGGAGTTCTTTATACAGTCTGAGTCCTTTGCCAAACATATGTATTATAGATATCTTCTCCACTCTGGCTTTCCTTTCCACTCTTTTATTAGTGTCTTTTTAACTTTTTAATAAATTTTTTAAATTGATTTCAGAGAGGAAGGGAGAGATAGACAGAAGCATCAAGGGTGAGAGAATCATTGATTGGCTGCCTCCCACATTCCCCCCACTGGGGAGGGAGCTTGCAGCCGTGGCATGTGCTCTGCCAGGCATCAAACCGTGACCTCCTGGTTCACATGTCAATGTTCAACAACTGAGTCACACCAGTTAGGTTTAATTTTCTTTTTTAAAGTCAGGTTTATTGAGGTACAATTTACAATAATGTATAGCTCTATGGGATTTGACAAATGCATACAGTTGTATAACCACCACCATAATTGACATAGAACATTTCATCACCTTAAAAAATTCCTTCACGCTTCTTTGTAGTAGACATTTCCTGTCACACCCAGCCCTGGCAATCACTAACCAGTTTTTAGTCCCTAAAATTTTGCTTTTTCCAAAATATCATAGAAAGGAATTATATGGTTTGTAGACTTTTTTTCCCCATTGTTGGCACTATTACAGATGCCCTCTATTTCTCCCACCTTTACCCACCTGCACCCAGCTCCCACACTTCCCTCCCCAGCCATCACCACACTATTGTCTGTGTCCATGGGTTATGCATGTATGCTCTTTGGCTAATCTCTTCTCCTTTTATCCATTCCCCCTTCCCTTTGCCCTCTGAGATCTGTCAGTCTGTTCTGTGGATCCATGCCTCTGTTTCTATTTTGTTTGTCACTTTACTTTGTTCATTAAATTCCACATATAAGTAAAATCATATGGTATTTGTCTTTCTCTGACTTATTGCACTTAGCATAATAATCTCCAGGTGCACCCATGTACATTTGAAATTCATCTGTGTTGTGTTTGTCAGTAGCCCCATTTAAAAACAAACATACACGTTTTTATTGATTTTAGAGAAAGAGGAAAGGAGAGAAATAGAGGGATAGAAACATGGATCAAGTATCTCCTGCACGCCCCCTACTGGGGATCGAGCCCACAAACTGAGCATGTGCCATGACCGGGAATCTAACCAATGATCTCTTGGCTCATGTGTTGACGCTCAACCACTGAGTCAGGCCTGCTGGCCTGTAGCCCCTTCTTTTTTATTGCTAAGTAGTATTCCAAATATGTATGTACCACAAGTTTTTCATCCGTTCACCAATTAAAGGACATTTGGACATTCCGGTTTTGGGCAGTTCTGAATAAAGGCACTGTAAACATTCACTGCTCTCTGTTCTCAAGCAAAGCAGTTTTATCTTTCATAGACTCATTCATATTTCTGATAATAAATAGAATATGACAAGTGTATGTGGATATTGCTATTTGGATTTTTATTTTTCTCAGAAGTCTTTACAAAATTATAAAAGCGTTATTACCGTTACATTAGGGGGAAAACTAATGGATTTTACTGTTAATGGGACGGTGTTAGATTCCTATAGTCTCAAGGCACACCTCATCAAAATCTAAAGTTGTTACTGGGATAAGGAAGTTGGCTCTTTGTGCACTTCTCTTAGTTGTGAAAGTTAGCATCAGTAATGATAGCCAATTCCTTTTGCCTAGATTAATCCAGTTTAACCTCTACATTTCTGCAGCCCTTGGGTCCCGGTCTTGTGTGCAGCTCCAGGGGGTTCTGCTACCACAAAGACTCCCTCTGGCTTCTGTGATTCTAAAAGACTCTTGAGTTAGCCTTTTCACTTCCCCACAGTTCAAATATGAAGGTTATCAGTTTACAACTTACTGATGTTCACATATGTGGCATTTTGCCTTTCGGATGGAAATTTAAGGCTCATTTAAATTCTAATTTGATTTGAAATCTGACTGAAGTTTTGTTTCTGTCTTTTCTTAGGTTTGGTGTGGTGGACTTTCTTTGAGTACTGGGATGCAGGTTCCAAGTGCTGTGAGAACACTTCAGAAAAGTGAAAATGGCATGACTGGTTCAGCTAGCAGCCTAAACATTGTTACTCAGTAATGCCTGCTCAGAATGCTTCACCCCTCCTTTTGCTTGGGTGGTCTAATCACAGAAACTATGAGTGGTGGAAATGAGGTTTGCTACGTTCTGCTTTAAGGCCTGGAGTCTGTTAGCATTAAGCATCCAGCACCACGTATTCAAAGGAACCTACTGTGCAGTGTCATAGAAGCAAGCAGAGATTGAGCAAGAAACTGATACTTTAAAGAGCAAATGGAGAAAAAGGCAGTATTTAAATAGTTACTTGAATAGAAACTCATCTTTGTGTTTCTTGGATTACTTTGGCTCTTCTAATATATTTAGTTACATATGGTAGCCCTAGGGCCTGAAGAAAAAGCATTTAAATCTTGCCTTCTTTTGTCTTTATTTTTTTCTCTTATCACTGCAAATCATTTAGTTCTTACACTGAAGCTTTTAAAAATATACAGTCCTCTGAGGTTCCCAAAAAATTAAAATTGGTTGGGGATTCTAGACAGGTTTTCTTACAATGATTTGTTTTCCCCCTGTTATAAATAAGTTGAGTTTTGCCAAATTATCCTCATTTGTTTTACTGACTAAAATATATATAATTGTCTGTTTTCTAAATGTCGTGGTATTTTTCTTGTGGTTATAACTCAGAATAAAGAGTGGATAGAAAGTGTTTCTAGACATAATAGCTTAAAATCACCCAAATTTCAGTGTTTTACCTGCTGCACTAACAATAGCAAAGGATATTCTTTATATGTTGCCCTATTTAATTAGAGTGCTTTTCATTCCATCGTTTTGGATGATGGGTACTATTTTTAAAAGCTTTATATTTTCTGATTTTGCTATCTAGTTTAAAACTATCTTTAGTAGTTATCTTTGGTAAAATTCCCACTTGGATTTGGTAATAACTGATAATACTTATACTGATTTTTAATATTTTTAGTAGGAAGAATGTTTATTAAAGTTATATAGAAGGTGGAAAACCTACACTACTCAAATTTTACCTAAGAAAGATAGGCTCTAAAGGGAGGTGCCTAAAACTATTCTTTACTGGTCATTTATATATGCTTTTGATAAGATATGGAATGGTTTAAACAAGTATTTTCGGGGGAAAATCTATCTCTGACTTATTTGGCATATAAGTTTTTCAGTCATTACTTAGAAAAAAATCAACATAGAATAATCTTCCCCAGAGTTAGGAAAAATGTGTTAACAACTAGTAAAACCCATGTTTATTGAGAACATATCTGTTTTTTAAAAGTTGATTAAAACTTATAACACAAATCCTTTGAGCCAAACTGAAAGTTGTAATTACAGTAGTATTTAAGAATTTCTTGAGTGTTTTAAAGAGATCTGAATTGGTATGTTCCTTAATTTTTGGAACATTTTAACATTCATTCTCATTTTAAGTATGTTGTACTATGACAACCTTCTTCCAAGGAGTGACCGACGCTACTTACATTACAGTTGCTATCCACAGAAAGGCCTGCAGAATAGGAATAGCTCATTCTTTCTTAAATTTTATGGCTTACTGATAGGATGTTTTATTCATTTTGAAACAAATCTAAATGAGGAATTTTATTTGAACTGGGTATTGTTTTTACAGAGGACATTCATATCTGCACCATTGTCTGATCATATATTTAAAAGTATAAAGACTATGAGGGAGTTTCGAGAATGAAATATATTAATAGATATTCTTTTGATTCTTCAAACAAATATAATTTTGGTTTTTGTTTCTCCAAGATTTCGATAGAAATTTTTTTTGGATGTTCTCTTTCCTATAGCAGGTTATCCAGGACCTGAGGAAACAGGAAGTTATAATTATCTTCCACAGAGTCAAACCTGAAAGCAGTAATTTAGTGGTGGAGCTGCTTTTTGTGAACTGTTATACATGTATATTTTAGCAAAAGTGACACAGAAAAAGCCAGAAATTCTTGTATAAAATTGTTTACTATTAAGTCTTATATAAATGTGTCTTTAATTCAGTGCCTTCTTCCTCTAAGGATGCTCTTTTTTACTCCATGTCCCATATCCCATTCAGTGTCAACTGATATTGAAGCCAGAGGCCATGTTAAACTGGTGAGGGCTTCTATTGCAGGGGCATGGGGAAAGGAGATACTAATCAGGGGTTGCTGGAGTGCATATGATTCTTTCCTGTACTCATGCTATCATTTGAAACCCTTCATAGAAAATTCTCTAATTCTCAATTGGAAAATTCATTTGAAGTAATACTATTATTCAAAATAAGATTCTGAGGTTTACTTACCTCTTACTGTGCTTCTTAAAGGTCTCTAAAAGAAAAGAGCAAAATGTGTGGGGTTTTGGTTTAGTAGTTTATAAGTTTATTTGTGTTAAACTGGAGAAAATTTGCCACCTTCATTTTCACACTGGAGTAAAATGAACTATAGTGCCTAATTAAATAGTCTCAAATTAATGTAACTATTTCAACTTGATATATATATGTCATTGACATTTAAATTAAAAATATTGAGCTCTTTTGCTCAATTTAATACATTGTGTTTAGTTGGTATACCCTTTGAAACATTCTTTATTGGTTTATTTACTCTTTGTTTTGACAGGTCAAACATGATTGCTTTCTGTAAAAGAAATGCATGAGAGGTTGACAGTAATGGATGTATCACAGGTCTAAAACAATTGTGTTTTATAAAAACATGCTTTTAGTATTATATTTCTCTTTTAGCAGTTGAATCCCAAACCAGTTTTAGTAAATTGGATAAAGACATGAAGGAATTGCCTTAAGCACTTTAGAAAAGAAATCTTTTATAATTCATTTTGATTCTTTGGGCTGACCATGTAACATACATCTTTAATTTTTGGTAAATATGTATATACCAAACATTTAATAACTGCACATAGAAATTTAAAATACAGTGATTCTTTGAATGTTCCCAGTGTAGGTAAACAAATGGAAAATATTAGAGGCATGCCTGTCTGTGTACATGGGTTTAATTGATGGCATGTGTACCATTATGACAAACAGTGAACTGCTGCTGTACAGCTAAACTTGGCCTACTTTGTTCTATAAACTGTTTTTCCCGTGTTATCATCAAAAGAAACATATTGGCTTAGTTTTATTGACTCATTTATGAAATTAAAACATGAACAATATCATGTATCATTTGAATTTTTGTGACTGATCCTTGCTGGTGTGAATAATAAAAGCAAATAATTTGTCATGAAATCTTTTAATTAGGCTACGATACTCTATTTCATGACTTACCTAGAATGATTTTTTTTCCTATATACTTTTTCCATAAAGTTATCGTTATTTATATTGTTTCTTTCGGAAACATAGGTTAACAATTGGAAAAGGATATTATGAAAAGTGATTACTTCAAAGAGTATTCATTTCAGAAGAGGGAAGTGTAGACTTCTTACTATAAATTATGTGGTTCCAGGCTGAAAAATCTAAGAACTATATTTTCAAATCATAACAATTCTTTTTCAGAAAGCTTGTATTTGTTAGATCAGTGTTCATTCTTTGGCTAAGTAATACCACAATTATTTTAAGTCTGTGATGTGGCAGTCATACTTTATATTCAGATTTCCAAAATTAATGAAGTTTGATTTACTATGCATATAGTTTTGCTGCTTTTGGGTAGTGTAATGACAAAGTTTGTATCTTAAAAATCAGAAATTTTAAAAGGTAAATGTGTTACAGTTTGTTAAAAAATTCAAATTTTGATAAGCACATTACACATAATATGTTCATTTTTATGTAATCACATAAAATAGATCTGTAAAAGTTTCTCCCTTGATTTTATCTTTACATTGGATATATTCTTTTAGGGAAGTGAATGGTCAGCATAAGTTTACTCAACATCCAAGTAACCATAAAGTTATTTGTTATTTTTAAACAAAATGTACATTTCTTAATGCCAGTGCTACAGCATTATGAGATCGTGAATGTTTCTTTAATCATCACAGAAAGCATACCTCATGTTCAGTGTAGTTTTAGTTGTTTGTATCTTACAGTTTTCACATTATGCCAATATCTGTGATCCTGATATGTCACCTGTGATAGCTTTGTTACTTGGAATATTTGATTAATGCAAATACTTTAGTTTTTTTGAGTAATTTGGAGTTAAACAGATTACATTTATTATATTTTGTTTTTGTTGAAAAGATAGTGTTGAGCATACCATATAAAGGTTAGTATTGGCTTATAAATACCAGAGATTGCCATAGTACTTTCTCCTCAGACTACTCAATTAAATTAAAACAGTATTTACTATTTCTGGGTCAGTATAAGGTAATAACTTTTGATTTATAACCATTTGAGCTATGTTAGTTTAAACTACATATTTTCTTAATGGCACCCATTCAGTAAAAGCTGGTCCTTTGGAATAGACATACATAAGATTTCACAGTATGTAGGGCAGAAGGTAGGTGAACGTGTTGTTCACTTTGGCTTGGAGCTTAAGTTTAGACCTTTTTTTTTTTTTTTAGTCAAAATGTAAGTAATTGGTAAAAGGCATTTCTATTCATATTGGAACTTTTTGGAGAGCCTAAGGGCTATGAGAATAATGCGTTTTGTTTTTGGTTTTTTTTGTTTAACCTTTCCAATATCTCTTAGGTACCAAAGCACTGAGTCTAGTTTACCTTTTAAGGGAGACTCTTTAAAATCAAATTTATACCTAACTCATACTGTAAGATAAATAATAGCTAAAGTTTTAAAGTAATTTATATTAAAAACCACTAGTCTTTAAAATTTCTCAATATGAAAATATTTGGCTTCATTTTTAAAAAAGTATTTAAAATTAATCCCCTTAGCTCTACCATACACTAGATCTATTTCCTCTATATAAATCATTTCTCATCTTTGGGCATCCATTGCCTCACATCTTACTCAGCCTACCTCACAGGGCTGTTGTGAGGAACAAAATGAAATGGAGTATATGAAATTGCTTCAACAACAGTAAAATGCTACATAAATGTAAGGGATTATTTTCAGTTAATAATAGATTTAAATGTTTGGATATTTCTAGATGCCATTTACTTTGATAAAGCATGTGCTTAAAGTGATATCACTAGGACTTTAAACATGATTTAAAAAAAAACAAAACCCTGACTACAGTGCCCTTTAACATTCTTTTGTTTGCATGATGTGGCCTTTTTGTATTTCCTCCTTAGGCCTGTACTCTGTATCAACTTTCTGTAACTGTAAAATGTCTCCCACAGCATTAGTGTGTGTTGCTGTAGAATAGTAGCATAAATAAATGATCTAAGCTATGTTTCCATCCAGGCATTTGCACTTTCAGTTTATGACTCTTCAGTGCCATGTATGCAAAGACTGAATTTGGCCTAAATAATTATTTCCAAGCAACCAAATGGTTAAAGTTTGTTGTCATTGGATAAATGATTTAAGGTGTATGTGCCCATTTAACATTAGACTTTTGTTGCATTGTCATTAAAAAAAAAATCCAAACATGAACCTGGATATCATTTAGTGTCTCTCCTAAGAAAACCTGTTTTGCTTTAAATTGGATTTATTAAATGGTTTACATGTTATCTTTACTTATAGATTATTTGGTATGTTATCATCTGGACATGGTTTTGCTATGCAGTTCTGATAATCAAAATCCTAATTCCTCAGGTTAAAATTTTAAGTTGTGGATGAAAAACATGAACTACTTATAATACACTCAGTGCTGCAAACTAGTGTTTTAAAACACATTATTGCCTCATTTTCCTTGGAAACAAGACAAAGCCTTTTAAATGGTTTTTAACTTTAAAATAGTCTTCAAAGTGGAGTAATTTGTACGTTGAAATGATTGTGTGCTCTGTGTAGAATGACCAAGTTAAATTCTTACAAAAGCACCTGGAATATCTCATCTAAAAAATAAACTTTTTCTGCTTTCTTTGGCTTCAGTGCGTGCATTTTATCAGTTCTCATTAAAAATATACAATGTGTTTTTGAGGATGACAAGATAAAAAAAGTCATAGTTCCTTTGCACCCAAAGGGGCACTACTTTCCACAGAATTTCATGCAATGGTGGAAAGTTCTATGTAGCTGCCGTTTTAGGACAGTGCAGCTATTGATGGAAGGCGAAACATGCTTGAAGTTAGGGACTTTGGAGCTTGTCACATCTCAGATTGCAGGTTGATGGTAGCTAAGAGTAAGAACTAGAACCTAAAACTTAAAATGTGTTTTCTAACATTAAATCAATTTAGGAGAAAAGAGAAAACCAATCAGTGGCTAGGTGAAGCTGGAGCTCCTGTAACTAAGATCATTTTCACCAAGAGAAGAATGAAGGGAAACTAGATAGTCTTGAGTCATAGGGAGAGGAGTGTGATAAAGATATTGAGAAACCAGTAGCCTCATATTAAAGATGGAGGGTGAATTGCAGCAAGATTTCTGGAGAACAATTTAGCAATAGCAAGAGTTTAAATACACTTACCTTTGACAATGTAATTCCATTTCTAGGTTTTTCTCATATATATACTCACTATGATGGCAAATACAAGCAAACTAATTGTTAACTGAAAAAAAGAATGGGCTACTTGTATTCTGAAGGCTCCCCTTTTCTAACTTGCTGCAGTAGCAAGCTCCTGTTGCTATGTATTTGTTCAGGTATATTCTGCCTGTCATCGTCCCCCACCCCCAATCCATAAATGTTAGAAATATGTAGACCATTATGGGAAGTGCTATACCTAGCTGGATCTCTGTGGGATAAGAGCTCAGGAAATTGTGTGCCCTCTACTTTTCTGTTTCCCTTACTACGCCCTATTTCATAGTTACACCACATGGTACTAGTAGTATGTTTATGCTCCTTTTGCAGAAGGTTGCTGGGATGATTAGATTGTGGAATTTTCAAGAAACTTTACACAGCTGTTACAGAATATGCTGTTAATGGAAGAGTATTCATGATATGAAATGGAAAAAGCAAGTCTAACTATATATATAATGATACCGTGAGCATATTCATGCACTAAGACTTGGGCAAGAAGAGTCCCTGCCCTGATCCTCACTCTGGTTGTTCCTCCATGGAATGAAAAAGTGAAGGAGCCAAGGGATTGCACCCACTCAGAGTTTGCATTCCTCTGTGTAGAATTCCCTGCTGAACCAACCCAAAGCTTGCTTCCAGAACACATGCAGGCCTCTTTCCCAGGTCCATCCTGAAGACAGAATGCTCTACAGGTGTGTACACCTCCATACTTAAGGGGCGGGAGTTTGTGAGGAGTGTGGCTTAGTAATGCAGACTGGGGAGTCCACATGCATGCATACCAGGGCTCTTCTTGTCAAAGGTGAAGTTAGAAGTAAATGGAGACAGACCTAGGGGCTTGGGGGAAGAACAGGCTAATCTAGTTTATTCTTACCTGTTTAGACACTTTAAAATACATCAGGGCTGGCCTCCATTTGTACTCTTGCTTCAGGCCCTACAATGTTGGGTAGTCTAGGATGTGTGTGTGTCCTGCAACTGAGTGATTTTTAAAAGATGGATGTTTGCTTATAATAAAGGCAGTTTTTACCCATCCTTGTACCCCTCCTTCAACTGGATTGGCTAACCAGATTAAAGCATACTGACTAGAAGGCTCACTGCAGACTCCCCCCTAGTACCCTGGAGAAGTAAGTTGTATGTTTATCTCTAGTGAATTGTTTATTCCCAAATCCGTTTATGCCAGTAGCAGTCATTGCTGTAATTATGTTAAATATTACATAATCCAAAGAAATATGAGTATGAAAAATTATTTATGAGGAAAGTTGGGGAAACTTTAGAGATGAAGACCTAAGACAAGTTGGTGTCAAGTCAAGTGCTCAAAAGAATTGTAAATGATAGGGAGGACTGCAAAAAAGAAAAATCTGACTCTCAGTTCAGATTCTTTCACTTGTATTTTTAAGTTCCAAGTCCACTTTAAAGAAACACTAAAAATTATAGATGATACATTATGTCTGTGATGTACATAAGAAAAAACAGGAACTCCAATCCGTTGACCCATGCTTAAAAAGACGTTAGCTCAAATCAAAATACTGGCCAGTGTAAACTCTCTGCTTTAACTGTCTTTTTTAGATTTACATGGAACAAATACCTTGAAAGGTATTTACTTGTAAGAACCTAATGATTACCCCCCCCCTTTTTTAATGTGAAAGCTAGAAGGGATCTTATCTTTTTAAAATATATTTTTATTGATTTCAGAGAGGAAGGGAGAGGGAGATAGGGATAGAAATAGCAGTGATGAGAGAGAATCATTGATCAGCTACCTCCCACACACCTTCCCCCCGCCCACTGCGTTGATGCTCAACCACTGAGCAATACTGGCTGGGCTATTTTCATATTAATTTTTATTATACAATTTTCAAACATACAGAAAAGGAGAGGCTATTAATGAATAACTTTATGCTCATCACCTAGATTTATCAGTTGTTAAAGTTTGCTATCCTTTAAAGTATCTAAAAATGACATGGATAAGTATTGCAATATGCATCAATGATTATCTTTTAAGCACAGCCACACTGTTAACATTCTTAGTAAAATTAACAGCAATCCTAATATCATCTAATGACTGAGTACATGTTAAAATTTCAGTTGTCTCAAAATTGTGTGATTTTTATGGTGGCTTTCAACAAATTAGGATCCAAACAAGGTCCACACATTGTATTTGGTTATATGTCTCTTAAATCTCTGATTTTGTAGTAGTTCCTTCCCCCCTTTGTTAAATGCTGGTCACTTCTCTACACCGGACATTAAATCTACAGTTTTATTAAATGTAGATTCAATTTTTAGACAAGAATCCTTTACAGGTGATGTTGTGTATTTTCTGTTGCATCGCATTAGGACTTAGATAATGTCTGGTTGTCCCAGATTTAAAGGTAAGATTTATCAGTGGGTTCAGGTGGTGGCAGCCTAATTCATCTACTAAAAAGTTGCTCATCAACATTTCACCTTAATTTTGATGAGTGTTTTAATCTATTGATGAGTGTTGTCCTTTGTATTATTTCATTGGAGTAACAAACTGGTGTTTGTTCAATCATTCATTATTTATTAGATGCGATTTTCATTAGCATTTTGGTTACACTGAAATGCAATTCATACAAGAAAGGCAGGATAAATACTTATTTTTTCCTTTATCAAGTTTCAGGATAATGAGTTGGTGGTCTGGAAACTTTCAAATATGACTGAGTTTCAGTTTTAAGAAATCATTATGAAGCAAAAATTTTTATATATTTAATGTGTTTCAGTCAATAGCAGTTACTCATTTGGCTGCTCAAAATTTCCCATTTTAGGTCCCTAAAGTTAACACCTGTGTCCGGTGGTCCCATTAGTGTGATAACTTCCTTCTTCTGGATGTTACCTACATTTTTTATTAACCTACCAACAAGAAGCTCTAGGAATATAGAAAAACTAGTTCTAAATAATGAGGACTTCTCCAGAATAAGCTTGTACATACACAAATATCCTGGAAGGAAAAACAAACAGCTATAGGTCATAACCCTGGGAAATAGGAAAAAGATTTTTCATTTTTTACACTCTTCCAAAAGTCAGTTTAGAAGACAAATATATGAGGGGAGTATTTTCAGTTTTTACTATAAGCTGATAATTTCTGTAGAAATTACTACCATTTAATGCGTTATAGTTTCCAAAATTCACGTCAAAGTTGATTGACAGCTGGCCTTTTGGATTAATTACGCTGTTAGAAGGTAGAGAGCCGGTTCCGGAACCGCGTGCGTGTCCATCCCAGACCGCACCGGGCCCACCAGCCGCGGGAGCGTGGGAGGGTGGGTGCCGCGCGTGCCCTTCAACCTCCTGAGCAACGAAAACGCAGCTGCGGGTTCCCACGCACCCATCGCACCTGAGGGCACCAATCCGGTCAGGGCGTTATCCTGAAAAGTATTCGTCGTTACCTGGAACTCACATTGAACTGGCAGCCTGTGTTTTCACCTGCAAACAGTTCGGCAGGTGCCTCTCCGATTCTCGGTCCGCTCCCTAAAGGCGCGGGCCGCCTCGGGCTCAGCCCTGCCCGCTGCGGGGAGGAGGCCCTGCTGGAGTG